TGAAGAAAGGCTGAGAGAGTTGGGGTTGTTCAGCCTAGAGAAGAGAAGGCTTCAGGGAGACCTTATTGTGGCCTTTCAATGCTGAAAGGGGGCTTATAAGGAAGATGGCGGCAAACTTTTTAGTAGGGCCTGTAGCGATATGACAAGGGGTAATGGTTTTAAACTGAAAGAGGGTAGACTCAGACTAGATAGAAGGAAGAAATATTTTACGCTGAGGGTGGTGAAACACTGGAAGAGGTTGCCCAGAGAGGTGGTGGATGCCCCAACCCTGGAAACATTCGAGGTCAGGTTGGACGGGGCTCTGAGCAACCTGCTCTAGTTGAAGATGTCCCTGCCCACGGCAGTGGGGTTGGACTAGATGACCTTTAAAGGTCCCTTCCAACCCAAACTATTCTATGATTCTATGTTTGAAGAGAAGTGTGGGAGAACTTATGGGAAATGGTAAAACTTTCATTGGAGTTCTCTGTCAATAGTTAGATCAGTTCTTGTAACACGTAACTACTAAGCTCTGAATAATGACATACCAGTTGGCTCATCCAGGGATGTGTATCTCTTACCCATAGGTTGCTTGAAGTAAAACATTTATACAAAAAGGTAGAAAATCAAATAAAAATGGCCAAGATGGTTTTGATGAATGAAATCAATAAACGAACAAACATCCTTCTTGAACAACTTGAAGTAAGTAAGGCTAGTTTCTTTGATACCTTGGGAAAGTAAACTAAATTAAATTTAATCCCAGTGCCAATGGAAAGAATATAGACTGTGAGAGTTATTGTCCCTTTACTTATGGGGCAAATATTCCTTTTTTTTCCGCAGAATTTTATGTGGAATCAATGGTTGACAAAGATTCAGGATGAAATAGCAAAATGTTTGCTTATCATGAGTTAACCACATTTTCTAATGCAGTTACAGAGAATATGTGTGCACCTTTTGAGTACTTACAAAACAAACCGGCTTCTGGTTTAGATGTTTAATTTGTAGAAGAATGTTTAATATCCTGTTTTGAAAATGATCCTCTGGTCTACTTTCTGTAATAGAGCCTGCAGTTTTGACTCTTCAGTTTTTGGATGTCCAGTTGAAGTATATATGAATTCATTTTGCAATGTGCTGAGCACAAAAATTGCTATCAGATCTCATCAGAATTTCCAGTTCACAGTTATTCTTGGGTAATTTAGGAGGTATTGGAAAGACAAGGCACTCAGCACCTGCTGACTATCTTCGAACTTACATATTTGGCTCAAATATGGCTACTCAGCTAAGTAGCTTTACAAAAAAGAGAAACCTATGTTCTCATTTCAGTATTATTAGACATTATGTAAATTCAGTGTCCATGTGTTTTGACAACATTTCAGTGTTTGTCTGAGTTATCTATAACCACAAACGAACTGGGCATACACTTGAAGTATATGCACAGTGCTCTGTTGAAGTGCATGTAGGGGTCATCAAATGAAATTGGGAGGTGCCGGGTTCAAATCAAACAAGGGCAGATAGTTCTTCATATAAATGGTAAATAAGTGTGGAACTCCTTGCTGCAAGATTTCTTTAAATAAAAATTTCTTTACTGAAAGAGTGGTTAACATTGGAACAGGCTGCCCAGGGAAGTGGTTGAGTCCCCATCCCTGGAGGTATTTAAAAGATGTGTAGATGAGGCGCTTAGGGACATGGTTTAGTGGGCATGGTGGTGTTGGGTCGACGGTTGGACTCAATGATCTTAGAGGTCTTTTCCAACCTTAATGGTTCTATGATTCTAAGATATTGTGCGTGTCTTCAAAAGTAATCAGACAAATTCATAGAAAAAGACACTGAGGGTGATAATGTAGCCTCTGTCTTTGTGGTCCCTGAATCATGAATTGCTGGAGACTGGAAGACCATTCTGAGGAAATGCTGCATGCTTCCCCTCTTCTTATATTTTTTCTTGGGTTTCTTCTGCTGTGTATTGTAAGAGGCAAGAAAGCGGTCCAGGTGCAAATTTGATCCAACTTCTACAGTTTTCTTGGGTTACATTATTCTGTTAAACCAAGGCCAGAATGATGTAGGTTGTTTGCTCCTGGAGAAGTCATTGTTCTTCCTGAATTCAGACATATCTGTTGAATAGGATTTGCTTTCTTTTTATGATTGGTGATTTAAAGAGATTCTAAATAACAGTGTCCCTGCAAATAATGTATAATGTAGTGCCAATGATTGTGTGCATTATGCGTGTCTGAAGAATGACAACTATCTTCTACTGATTCACATTATTAACAGAAAATCACCAGTGAAAGGAAGCAGAAATTGGAGCAACAACTGCAAGGTATTGTGGTTTTAAGCCGACAGGTAGAACATGTGCAGAACTTCATCCGTTGGGCAGTGTGCAGTAAAAACAGCATCCCATTTCTCTTCAGTAAAGAACTGGTAAGAGCAATACTTATTTTCTCAGTAAATTGAAATTGTGCAGTAAACGTGAGAACTGTTTCAAGGATTTAATGTTTCTCAAATAAAACATTTTTCATGATCTTATAATTGTGAATAAAATCATCATCCTTTGATTTGTCGCCAGATTGTGTTTCAGATCCAGCGCTTGTTAGAGACAAACTGTAACACAGACATAGGCCCTCCTCTGAAGATCAGATTCACTTGGGATCCCTCCTACTGGACTAAACAACTGTCCAATTTGGGTAAGAAAAATATATTGTTGTTTATTAGGCAAGTGCCAAAAACTAGACAAGACAGATATAGACAATATAGGACTTTCCCTAAAGTGGTCCCCTTTTTTATTTTGACTTCCAGTTTTGTACCTCCTGTAACATTCTGAAGAAAAGCTAGTGTGGCTGAACTCTCCTGTTTTTCCCTCCAGTTATACCAATTCACCTATTAAAAGACATCGTTATATGTAAATATTACATTATAAACATTACCTAGAAATACACTCTATAAATATCTTTGATGGTCTTACAAAATCACAGTGTAAGAACACAACTACTAGTTTAGTGGAAAGCACTCTGCAGGACTAAACAAATAAATTTTAACTGAATTTACTTAAAATGTAGCATCACTGGCTATCAAACAGCCTTGACTTTGCCCAATGTATGTGAAATGCAGTTCTGTCCCAGCAAGCAATAGCTCTGTACAACACTCTGACTCTGGCAGTCCTGTAAGGAGTACCCTGGGTGAAATGGAGTATCTGCAGTGGGCCTTTTGCTATTTCCTCTGCTTTACCCAGGGGCAGCTGGGCTCAGTCATGCCCGCGCTCCTCAGATCCTTTAGTGACCAAGGGACCTGAGCAGTACTTGGGACACTTACAATTAATGGGCACAAAGATGGCTTTAAGACATTGACTGTATAATAATGACAGTGTTATTTACATAATGAATGTGCATACGGAACCTTGCTCCTCACCAGCTATAAATTTCCCAACTACAGTGGGTTTTTACAGTAAATTCAGTTCGGTGGGCCAATCAATGGTCTAAAAGATTGGTTCTCTTCCCATTTTAAGATATTTAAAACTAGATGGGGTAAAACACTATCAAAAGTATTACAGGGAATAATATTCTCTTGACTAAAAGCATGGAGAAGACCAGTTCACTTCTATTTCTAGCTTTTATGATTCTCCCCTACATAACATCAATCTCTTTTATTTTTGTCACTTTCATCCTGGAAGCAGTCTTTTGTACCTGTGCTTATGGATGAGAAGATATGCTCATACTTTAGTAAAAAATGAAAGTATAAGCCATATCCATCAGTTAAAATAAAATAAGTTGAGGTCAATTTTTCAAAGCATTTGCTGGTAATTCAACCATAAGTTCCTCTGACATCAGTGGGAGTTTGGTGTGATTTTTTAAATCACTGAAAAATCTTGAAAAATTTGTCTTGAAGGTATGTTGAAGGACTGTTTGGATAGGATATTTGAATATCTTTTATGTTTGAAATGGAGACAAGGAAATGGCCATCGTTCACCGTTTTTATTGTGTAAATTTGTCAAGACCATAGGAGGGAGTAAATCTGCTGTTTTTTCCAGGAGGTTTCACTATGGAAGGTGGACACATTTCTCACTCAGATGTGCTATTCTGTGGAAATGTACAAGGATTACAGACCTCCTTGTATCATGGGCACCGTTCACCAGCATCACAGCTGGAGCCTGTGAATAGCCAGCCACATCAGTTTCCACCTGCAGTTCAGTGTCCGACACCTGTGTGTTGCTCTCACTGCCTCAGCGTACCTCACCCAAACAAAGCTCAGCCTTCTTACCAAGACATAAACCACCATCAAAATTTTCGACAACCTCCTGAACTGCATCAGCAGCACTTTCCTCTGCAGTACAGCATGCAGCAACATGACAAAGAGCAAAGGGGTCCCCTTCAGCCTATGAAGCTAATGCAGCCTGGGCTGGAACAGCAGTCACGATCAGAGCCAGAGAATGTGTCTGCGAGGACGGGAAAGCACTTACCATCCCAGCAGCTGCAGCAGACTGCACCCCTGGCTTATGCTGTTGTATCGCATGAGGCTCAGCAAGTTCACACGAACCATCCACAGCCATTCCACACACAGGCTTCTTTGCAGACATCAACTGTGCAAGTGCAACTTGGTCATCTCCAGAAGATAAAGTCTAGCCACTTGCAGCAGCCACCACAGCAGCAGCAGCTGCCACCAGCATCGCCACCATCAGGTCAGAATGAGAACACCCACAAACAAGTCATCCAGCAGAGCCTGGACATAATGCACCAGCAGTTTGAACTGGAGGAGATGAAAAAGGATCTGGAGCTTCTTCTGCAGGCTCAAGGACAGTCCAGCTTGCAGCTGAACAAAGCCAAGCCACCTCAGCATGTTCAACAGACCATAGTTGGTCAAATCAACTACATAGTGAGGCAGCCAGCCCCAGTTCAGCAACAAATCCAAGATGAAGCACAAGTAAGTTCTCCAAAAGTTCTTTCCTATTGCGTTTAGTCAATGTAAGCTCAGAAATGGGAGACACCTTTGAGATTTCATGTATTTGGTTGAACTTTCTGTTGTTGTCTTGTCTATGTTTGTATTCAGCAGAGGCTTCATGCCTCATTCAGATTGAGCCAAAATTTTTTGTAAAGTGCTGCATAAACAACCTGGATCCCAAAGACCTGAATCTCTCAATAGACAAGGTGAGCAGCAAGTGGGAGAATAAAAGCATCATCATTCCTCCTTTGTGAATAGATAACTGGAGGACTGTAGTAGTGTCATTCTCCATTTCAACTCCTTTTTAATGGAAACTTTAAGCCCTGAGTCCTTGCAAAAGATTCCCTTTTGATTCTGAATGATTAGTGAAAAAAGAGTGAACACCTTTTTTCAGTCTGAGAGTTATTTCCCATTCTACTAGTAACTGCTCTTGCTACTGCATCATGTCCTTTAAGATTTTCATCAGTATTTTCTGTTATAGTTTTGTCAGTGGGGCTAATTTCTCCCCTTTTCCTCTGTTGGTAAGAATCCTGCTTTTGAAAAAGGGACAGTGCTTGGTGGTGAGCATCCAAACTACAAGGCAGATAAGGTGCATAATAAGGTGGCTTTGAAACTCTTTCAAAACAGTGAGGATTGCAGCAGAAAGGTGGCTGCGACTTCCCATTGTGTACATTCTGTGGAGTTCCCACCTTGAATAGCTCTCACAGTGGCTTACCTGTAGGGGCAGACTGCAGGCTTTTGAAATAGCTGTACATTTCAGCAGCTTTATTGATTTTTTTTCTTTTAATTCATTAATGTTTGAGAGAAATCTTTCTCTATTCGTTTATCTCTCTACTTAGGGTTACTTTGAACATCTTTATTTTAGAGTCTTTCCAGTCTTGTCATATTGTGTATGCTGTGAGTTGATGTGAATTTGTTACCGTTTTTCTTTCTGAGATTTTGAAAACACAAATTCTTAATTGTGATTTGTAGGTCTGTGAGAGTTCCGCTGAAGTTGAAGCCCAGAAGCCTGTAATTCCTCTTGACAAAAGTGATAGTCCCTCCCTGTCACAGTCACTAGATGAAGAAGCCAGTGTCAGCAGTCAGTCCCCTGAGAGCACATTGCGACAACCAGCTTTCCATCCAGTGAGAAAGGTACAAAGAACTTTTAAAAAAAAAATATTTTAAAGGGAAAACATGATTTGATAATATTGAATATAATATGGCATTGGAATTTGCAATCAGGTTGAAAAAATTAAAATACGGTAAAAGCTGACAAAATGGCTTGTAAAGCCACTGGAAGACAGTCATAGCCTAACCTGGTGTGCATCTTCCAGTAAGATGCCTACACACTGTGCTGTAGCCAGGATCAGCAACTGTTCTATAAGCTGGTAGGGTTTAGATCTGGCTGGCATGATTGTTAAGCATGAACTGGTAAATAAATAGAAGACCTACTTCTTCACTTAGTAAATTCTGTCCAGTCCCTATCTCTAGGGATTTAACTATGAGGACTTGCTAATGACCATACTAGCAGCAATTAATTAAAAAAAAAAAAAAAAGAAAAAAGAGTCAGAGATTCTGATGAAATCAGGCCTGAGAAACATCCTTCAAAATAGTTGCCCTGGAAATAACAACACTAATTATTACTGAAGATGTGGTGTCTGAAAGGGATATAATTCTGATATACTCCTTCTCCTTGTTCATGTATAAGCAGAAAAATCATAGATTTCTGTATCTCTAGAATATTTCAGCACATAATAGAGCCATGCTTTGATCCTTCCACGTACTGGGAGGCCCTAACTATTGAAGAAGCAGCATAGACAAAACCAGGAAGGCTAATCTTTATCAGTAGATCCTTGCTGGCTCTGGATATGACCTGTGCATTTGAGGGAGAGAAGCTGCCTTTTACCTCTCCGTACAGTTTGTTTAAAATACTCCAAACAGCACTTCATATTCTGGTTGCTCAAATCTGTTTGGTACTTCTGTGCATGACTCATGTTGTGTACCATGTAGAAGTCTTTCATGGATATTTTTTCTTGGAATTTGTGTGTGGAATATTGTGGAAGAACTTGTCTTTCCTTACTAGCCAGAAAAAGGAAGGGGTTTTTTTATCCTTCTTTAGTATGTAGCTTTGTTGACCCAACATATTTATGATGCAATACCCATTCAGAGAGTTGTTGGAGATCCTTTTAGGAATTGTAGAGACACGGAAGGGTAATGATTACTGAGGGTCTGGAAGCAGCATGCAAATCAGGTTTGGAAGCCACAAAGAAATCTGCAATTGCTAACTTAATCCTGTAGATGTGATGGAATTTCTGGATCAGGCTGATGGTATCACAACATTCTGAGACGACACTCTTTGGCTCTGAACTTTCACATGTGGAAGCAGATGTCCCTTAACCTCTGATGACAGAGCACAAGATTGAGGAAAGCTATGCAACTTTTCTAGGATAGGGCTATCTTTACTTTAGGGTATGACTGTAAAAATTGAAGATGTGTATTTAAGGCCTGAGCAGCACCATGAACCTGAGCACATACTTTTCTTGTAATGCAGACACACCCTCAAAGTTATTTGTGAAAATGAATAGTGATGCTAACCAACTAGCTTTCAGAGTCTTTTTCTACACGCGTGTTGAAGAAGCTGTCCTTTGTCTTCTGGACCTGTAAAGGAAGGTTACTCCCAACAGCTTAAACAACAAAAGAGGGAAGAAAAAGGAAGAAGATGTGCAAAAGAGAGACTAGTGTAGTCTGATAGGAAAAGGAAGAGGAAAAAAGGACGAAGGACTGATTCGTTGCTGTACAAGTTGAGAAGGCGGCAAGAGGAAGATAATCCTAGGAAAAAAAAAAGGAAATTCTTCTAATGGTGCTGAGAAGTGTATGCTCTTGTGCAGAAAGCACAGGTGTGTCTGTTTTTTTACTAGTTTCCTGGTACGTCTGCAAGAAATTAGGACATTCAACAGCTACAGTGCCCCATCTTTGCTTGTATTTATCTCTTGCAATGAGCTGTTTGGGATGAAGCCATAATGTACTGACAGCTCTGGCAACAGCTAATTAGAAATGATGAAGGGAAACAGCACAGTAAGGAAACCCTTGAAATATATTCTTCATGAATGCTCTTTAAAGATGTCTGACTGCTTTTGCTGACAGATTAAATCTAGGTTTAAATGGGAGATGGGTTCCTATTTAAGAACAAGGGGATGTGTCTATTCATTCTCATCTCTGTTTCACCTGATTAAATATTTTCACACTCATCTCCAGACAAAAATTTCTGTATAGGTGTTCATTTACTTTCATATGGCCTGTATTCAGAACATTTAATCTCTCTCAAGTTCTTGGAGGACGTGGAAAAAGCCAATGTGGAGAAGTCTAAAATACTGCACTTGGAAAATATGGTAGAGAAACCTTTTGCTACCTGGAGAAGAACTGTATTCTGCCTTTTGGAGAATAATTGGTATTGGACTTCTTGGCCTTGTGTTGCAGTTCTGCTGACCTCTAACAGCCTTCGTTGTGCGCAACATTCCTAGTGGAGTAGGTAATTCTCTGGCTGCTGAGATTCTTTCATTAAAGAGAAAGCAGTGTGAACCAGGATGTAGCAAAACTCAGAATTAACTGTTTTGGCAGTTATGTAACTATGTTTGCCAAGATCTGTCAAAAAATAAAAGCTTCCATTAGCCCAGTGGTTTCCTTTATTTTGGACAAGGCTTGATTGCTCATGTAATTAAACATCTGTGCATTAATTTTGAAACATGTTTACGGTATGCATTTGATACTATTGACTAATAACTAGATGAATTGTCTGCATACAGGATCATATTTATGTGTGAAGCAATATAGAGCAGATGCTATTAATAGTTTGGGATCACAACATTACTCATAAACGGGGAAACCACAAGTACGTTACTCAGATCATCCCAGACAAGTGCTGGTGCAGCCGTTACACCACGGTGTTGAGGTACTCGTATGCCATGTGAGTGCTTGTGAGTTCAAAGAACGCCTGTTCAAGTTATTCTGATGAGTACTGTTTTCTGTCCCTCATATTTAAAGCTGGTTATTGATAAGCAGAAGTAGAGAAGCAAGGATGAAACACTTCATGCACTTGTAAAATGTCCTCGTGTGTTACATTTCACTATCTATCAGGACAAAAATTAGATCTAGCTTCACTGAGCAGACAGAATTTTGGCTTTCCAGCTGTATAAAGTAGGGTGTTCTAGCTGGTGTTGATCAGAAACATTAGCATCAAGGTTACTGCTGTCTTAAAGTTCAGAGTAATTCCTGTCTGTGCCCACCTGCTCTGTATGCATGTGTATAGTATAGTCTCTAAACATGTAACTTCAGTTATGTGTGGGCTTGTTTTCATTTGTTTCACTGTTTTTGGAACACTAATGGTGATATTTTGTCAGCCTTTCTGTCTTCCTGTGTATTCCTCTAACTTTTCTTTCCCTGTGAATTGAATTTTTTGTGCAGAATAAATGTTTCTATACTTAGACCATTGATTGTTTCATATAAGTCAAGTACTGCACTTAGCATAACTTTGGGCTTGATTAGCACCTTTTAAGAATGCAACACTAGAAATGGAAGTTTTCTGTCTATGTGCAAAATGAGTATAATTTTCGCTTCATGCTTGCCTGTCAGTATACTTCACTTGTGTAGCCGGGACCTCTGTTTTGGGTTGTGAAGTTGTTCCATCTCCATGCCTGTCAAATACCCAACCTCTCCAGTAAGAATGCCAGGAAGACAGAGGACAAATCTCAGAATAACTTTTGTGATACCTGCACTTTTGTTCTAGGGAATTGTGCCAAGCTCCAGCAAACAGATTTCATACAAGCTATTGAATTGCTAAGTTGCAGTGTGAAGGAATGAGTACTCAATTAGATTAACAGTTTTGTGGAAAGGGTTACCAACTTTCTGCAATGATATGGTCCTCCTGTTGCTTTTACATAGTATGATATTGAGTTATTAATTTGTGCACAGGACTGGAGAGGTCATCTATTCTGGAGCAGAGGTGAGAATAGTAAGATATTTTTGGCCTAATTGTGTTTTCAGGAATAATAAAGGGCATACAGTCCCTGTTTTGCTTACATGTACCTAATTGTCATTTGTGGCTGTGATGAGCAAGAGGTCTAAAGGCTGTACTAGCATTTGAAGAAATGTCATAATTACTGTACATCTATAGCACAAATTTGTAGTGTGAGCCCCAGGTACTGCTGCAACAGACATTGGCATTGTTGCAGGGCCAGCTTGGACGTCTCTCCTCCTCAGACTCCATAACTGCACCCCTTTCTCTAGTTAGGAGCAGGGCCTTTACTTCTGGGAGGGAGGATTCCTTGTCTTGTCCAGCTGTTGGGTTGGGTCCTGGGCAGTGGAACACTCTGTACCATCCCCACTCATCCTAAAAACCTAACTGGCTTGGGCACTCGTGGTTCTGCCTTCTGGGACACTGATCAGTTGTGAGTAGATTGGACAGCGTTTGTCAAACTCAGATTTGGTTATGTTCCTTAGCAACCTTTGAGGGTTTCTCCCCTTGAGCTATTATTGCACCGTCTGCTTAAAATAAATCTCTGAATATGTCATGCACTGTATTAGTAAATTATTACTGAACAGCTGTATCTGTTCCTTTATAGCTGTAGCCAATAGCAGATGCTTAGGAAAGGGTATAAGAAACAGACAAATATAAACTGATTCTTTGATGATGCACTATCCCAGCTTCTGCAAACCAGCACTTTAGGGACTTTCCGAACTGAAGGTTGTACCCAGACAATTGTGTTTTGCAGCTCTTCATGGACACCTCCTCTATGAATTTGTCTAATCCATTTTTGAGTCCATTTCAATACTATTGGTCTCCTCAGCATTCTGCAGCAACTAAGTTCCTCTGTTGGCTTACTTTAAGTCTGTTGCCTGATAATTCAGTAGGATGCCTTCCAGTTCTTGTGTTAGGAAAACCAGTGAATAATCACTCTGTATTCACCACCTTCATAATATCCATATTTTATAAGCCTATATTGAATTTCCTCTCAAACATTTCTTTTTGAAGCTGAAAAGTGATTGCTGGTCTCTCTAGTGTCTTTTTTTCATGGAAGCCATTCTATACTTTGGTCCTTTATATCTTTGGCCATTTTCCCTATATTTTGTGGTTTTGATAAATCCCTTTGAGACAGGGTGACCAGAAGTAGTAATCGAGGTGCAAGCACATGGAAATTTTGTATAGTGCTATTTTTGTGTTGCTCTTTTTGATTTACAGTAAGTCCCAGGTTCTTAGTTCGAGAGCTCTGTTTGTCTCAAGCACCATAAAGTACCCGAAATGGGGAAATCCTAGAAAATATTCCATGCCATCCAAGGAGCACTCTTGAGAGCACTCTGAGAGAGGCTTCTATTTTATTCTAGTTATATGCATTTCATGCAAGACTAACATAGTGACAGTTCATGGTGGAACCTCTCAGCCTCTCCTGGGACTTGATGCATGTGAACTTCTAGGCTCTGACATGCCAATGCTGCTGTTACTACAGGATTATCAGAGTGAACAGTTGATCTCAGTCTGCTGTAGGTGGCATTCTTGGGTATTTTGCCCCAACACATTTGTCCTAAGCTTTATTAATGACAACTCTTCCATCTTGGTGACAAGTGCTTATAGAATCATAGAATAGTTTGGGTTGGAAGGGACCTCTAAAGGTCACCTAGTCCAACCCCCTTGCTGTGGGCAGGGACATTAACTAAAGGTATTTTTTTTTTTCTTTAAAAGCATGTGAAATTTGTGGGAGAGGGGTTGGGGGGCACAGTACAGGTTTTATTTTTGTTAGTATTGCACTGAGCATGTTGTGATTACTTAGTGACTGGAAGTAATAATAATTTAATACCCGACCCTAGGACTTCGAATCTGAGCTTGGGACTGGGGTGGGTTTGTTGTGTCGCTGTTTTTTTTTCCTAATTACTATTAATTCAGGGGGATTAGAGGTGATGGAGATAATGATAAAAGCCTGGAATTTAGGGTCCTGCAAATTCCTAAAGTATCAGAGTATTTTTTGACTTTGAAGAATTGAGCTGCTTACAGCACAAATGCGGTCATGCTTAATGCAATTAGGTACATTTCCCAGAATGTTAATTCAACAAAACCTTTTCCTTTGACCTGGAAAAAAGGATAAATAAAACATGATGCTGCTTGCTCCGTACAATCTTTTCCTCCTTCCGCTTTAAGCCAGCTCCAGTTTATTCAGACAAAATGTTAAGGAAGATTTGGATTCTTTTTCTCATAAAAATGGAAAGGAAATCCTTCGGATTCTATTCTGAAATTGGGAAATATGAAAAGGAAGCATGTGTAGACTGTGTTATCAGTGCTGCTGTGTGCGGTGAGTTAAACAAGTGAATTGGAGTAGTACATTTGTTTAACCTCCTAGCATAATGAGCTGCCAGGGGGATTGCTCCACTTAATAGCAGCCGTTCATTACTCTGCAACCATTTGCAGTGTGTTATTTCTCTTATAGCAAAGAGAATTGGCGGTTCCTAGTTTTAGCTTTCTTTATCTGTGACACTTAATGTCAACAGCCTTGAGACTTTGCCAAAACAATCCTAACAAATCCTAATCCCAGTGTTTCAAGGTAAGTATTTGCTTCTCAGAATTCTTCTGTATTAGTGCTGCATGTTTACACTGGACCTTTTTAAATGCAACAGTGATCAAAGAAATATTTGAACTGAACAATATGTTTATTTTTTTTCTCTGAAGGCACTTTGCATGTTCTTTCTTCTTACCTTTCACTACCATAGCTATGAAATTTGTGGTAGAAGGCATTTTGGGGTGGTGATGCTGCTGCCATTATATTATAAGGATCATCAGACCAAAATCAATTATGAGACAATGAGAATTCCATTTATAATGACACAAATGTAGTTCGATGTGCCAGGCTGTACATTAAAATGTCAAAAGTTTCAAAATTAACCTATAGCCGAAGCCACCCTCTACCCAAGAGCATAATTAATGCTTGTTGTTGTTCAAAGGGTGCAATGTAAAAGCAATAGAGCTTTTATAAAACAGAGATCAATTCTTTAAAGGCATCCCATTTGCAAAAACTAGCTGAACTGTCAAGGGAAAAGAGAAATTTTTGCTAATGGCAAAAGAAATGATTATTTTAGGGAGTGAATTAATAGTCTATTAATGAGCCTTGTTCCCAGTGCATTGTTCACTTCACACTTGACAGCAGCTCCATGGATCAGAATGGAATGTGTCTGTTCTTAACTGTGAGTTTTAATATTTTGCACTGAAAGATCATAATGTTGCTTCATCATTAAAATAACCACAAAATTAACTTTTGCCCCAAGGGAAAGACAGATAGCAGTTTGATGGCCTCATTATTCTTTCTTCTTTTTAACAAGAGTAAGGTTTTATATTGGCTTATATAATCTAAAAAGATCTCTGAAGAAACTGGTGCTAGCTAGAGGAGTAAAAAAGATACAGCCATATAATGCAATTGAATTTCACCTTTCTAAAAATTTTAGTTATAACAAGTCTTATGTGAGTGTCTATTTCTTTTGTTCTGCAGTAGGAGTCGTCCCAGCGACTACTCCCAGTAAGTAAACTTGTCTCATTGAAGCCAGGAGTAATCCTACCATTGTCTTAGTAGGGCTAACATTTCGCCTGCAGTGTATACAGTTACACATAGACAGGTCTTCATAAGGTCAGGTCTCAATACGTAATAGATGATGGCATGCTCTCGTAACATAAGTAAAGGAAGATGCGTGTAGTGGTTAGAAGAAGTGAATAGCCACAAGGTCTCCAGTTAACTTGCTGTGCAGCTTTGGGTGGTGTGCCTACTACGTGTGTGCCTCAGCATGCCCATGTCCAATGGAGCACAGCATTAGGTAGTTCGTATTGACTCGGACAGGAATGTGTGGATGCTTCGTGCTTTTGAGAATCTGGCTAAATAAATATTTAACTACCTCACAGGGACTTAATTAATGCTCACAATGGACTTTGAAATAAGGGGAAAAGGCAAGGCTGATTACAGTCCATCTGTTCAGTTCAAGCACGAATTCTGCTTATTTGTTTAATTTTCTGTAAGTGATATGAGAACAATTCACATGTTTATTTTGTCATCTGAAAAAGGCTTGTGATAAAAAGAGTGATGGAATGAAAAGGAAAATGTGTACTCGATAGGCCACATTTGTCATTGCATGTGCAGGAACCTGTCATAAGCAAATTATGACAGCAAATGAACATTTTTGATCTTTGTGGACTTCTTTAGGATGTGTGACCACGAAAGCCGGATTCCTTCCTGACCTGCATATATTCCTTTGGTCTGAAACCTGAGCATTCTTAGGAATGCTCTATGAGACACAGTATATGGAAAATTGTGCCTCCACCAATGCATTTCCTCATATGCTGTGTTCTAGTTTTCAGCTCAAATGTAAGGTAGGAATAACGTGTTTGACTAGTTCCAGCTGGTTCCAAGAAGTTGTTATAGCTCAGAGAGCTTAGATTCAGGGACATTCATTTGCCTCAAGAGGCGGGAAATGGCCAATACCCTGGCTGCAGAGACCCAGTACTCTCTGGAGTGCCTTCTACATGAAAGGACTGTTTAAAACAGACTTACTAGAGCACTGTGTGGTAGAATGGCACAAACCTTCTCTAGCACTGCAGAAGAACTGACCTCTTTCTGTCTCAAATGCAGGCTCATTGAATATAAGTGGTCACTGTTCAGGCAAAGCTCCTATTGTAGCATCGATTGCAAATTGAGGAAAAGGAAATTAAATTACTTCCTTAGGCGGAAATTAATGTCTGTGGGCAGAGTGTTCTCTTAGCACATAGGTGATATGCATTGCAAGCAGAGGAATTCAAGGCTGACTTCTTTGGCATTATGTAGGATTTACACAGGCACAACTGACAGCTCAATCTAGGCTACTGTCTACCATTGTTGGATTAAGACGGACAAAGATATCACAATCCAAAATGGAGTAACAGTTGAGAAAAATACTAATTAAATCTATGAAATGGGTTCTGTCTCAGATTCACTTCTAAGTCACAGGCCCCTAGCAGAAAAATAAGTATAACAATGAAATTAAACTCCAATTCAGATGCAATCAACACATTTCTTTTGTCTTGATTTATATTACAATGAGTGCCACTTACTGTGTTGTAGTCAAATGAAAAGGATTTATTCAGTCTATTATCAAGGGTGAAACACCAATGAACTATGATGAAATAAATGGAAAATTACATAATCAAATGACACAGATCTGCGTACTTCTTAAGACTGCTTATATTTCCTTCATATGGACACTAGAAGTACTGATTTCAGTACAGTCACACATTCCTGGATGTAAGGCTGCTTAAATAAGTCACCTAGATGGGTGGATTTGCTTTGTTTTGTACAACAGTATTTCTGTGGTTTTGACAGTGACAAATCATGAGACAGTAGGAAATGCATGTTGCTAAAACTATTTCAGATTTTTTGGTAAATATTCCCTTTCTTTGGAAACTAGACATGTACATCCTTTCCTCATTAGTGCATGTAGTATGTTTCTAGATTTACACTATGATATTTAAAGGGCAAGTGCCTTAGGTTTTAATGGCACAGACTCACTAACTAGCATAAAGTTTTCAGCATCATTAACAGTAACAATAGTTTCATCCACTTGTGTCAGATCTGAATCTTATTTCTTCTGAATCTTCTTTCTGAATAAAGTGATCTGATGATTTTTGAATAAAATGATAAAATTTCTGATCTGAATCTTATTTCTTCTGGAATAACTTTACGGAAGCTAGTAGGGTTTTATATCAAGGATCGATTTAGTACAATATTCTACATGCTTATATTTCCCGTTCATTGTAGGGAGTTAAAAATCAGGATCCCTTGGACTGATCAAAGGAAGACATTTTTTGTGACTCACAGAAGAGTAACCTAGGTGTCTCCTTTTCCAGTTTTCAGTTTTAATGGTGGAAACGCTAAAGCTTTTGGAAATGGTATAAGATTACAGTAGATACTTTCAAGCCACAACTGGTTGATTACGTATAGCTGAAACAGAGTATCTCATCCATTATAGAAAGAACAGTAGCATTTTGCTGCTGAAAAGCTTATTAACGTATTGTTTTTCTTTTTCTTTTTTCTTTTCCCAGCGTTCGGCATCCTTAAGCATTGTGGGCTTTTCAAACGGTTTAGAAATGGAATTACCTTCAACAAGGTTATCTAGCTCGGCTGATCCACAGATGCAAGGCACAGCCACTGTAACACTTGGCCCATCCCCGAACGCCCTTTGTGACTGTGATACTCCACCAGAGTCAGTGCCCAGCTACAGCTTGGCGTTGGGCAGAGCTCCAGGTGACCTGAGCCCTGGGGCTGCTGCTGGCCTCGCACCAGGTGATGCACTCCAGGGCAGCACTAAGTGCAAGGTAGGAATCGCTCAAACTCTTTGGCTGAAAGGGAATCCACTTTCATTGATAACACATGTTATTGTTAGTCAGTCAAAGGCAGCTATTTCAGTAAGTAAAGTTTTCCTTATCTGGTATTTGAAGACTGAATACGAATTATTTTCTTAAGGTGGAAAGAAAGAAAGCTAATAATAAAATTTGATTTTTTTTCCCCCCCCTGAAGCTGGAAAATGAAGACTTCGATATTGTAGATCATCCTCTAGAAAACAGCTTGGCTACTGCTGGGCAAGATGTAGTTAATGAATTAACTCTTTCTATGCAAAAAGTGCTGGAAGAACCTATTAATCTTTCGATCAAAAAATCTCAACATTGCAATTCTCCTTCTGAACTGCTCAGCAATACTTCTTTCCTGCCCGTGAATGCCAGAATGAGACAACTTAGAAGTAAAGAAGGTACCAGGCTTTTCATTATTTCATTTGGGTTTTTGGTCTTTCTTTCTTTCTTAGCACTGTGCATTGCAAGCATTGCAAAGCAGTATGCTTATTAATGTACTTACATATAAATGTGCTTTTCCAGCAAGCTTCAAATATTATCAGAGTACTTAATCCAATGGAAAAGTGTGTTTGATCTCATTTGTGGAGGAAAAACATGGAAATGATATGCCTTGAATTTGTAACATCCTTCAGCTATGAACCAGAAACGCGTGTGTCTGTGTGAAGTACCTGGAGTATTAGTTCTCTTAGAAGCACTCCTGTTAATGAGACCTGCAGTTATGACTATTGAAGAGCTGGTTGGAAGAGTCCAAATTCAATAATAAAAAAAAATTGCTTCCAAAATGTAATGTGCCTTCTGCTAAGTCCTTCACATCAGTAGCATAGCAAATTTTTGTTAGGTTAATATATTGCACAGTATGTGCTTTTGCTTGGCTCTGTCTACTGTGGAACACTCCCTTCAGCCAAGGCCTATTTCTTCAGCCTTAATGGAGAATTAGACCTTACTTAACTCTTTCCATGGGCAAGTTGCCAATATGCTTGTGCTACACTGTAAAGCCTCATTCCTGCAAACTCTAAAAGTCAATGTGACTATTCGTGCAAGCAAGGGATTGCAGGATCAAGCTGTTATCCTGTGACTTATGCCAATATTTGGCTGCTTTTCTCTGTAAAAGACGAATTAATATTTCTATCTCTGTGCTGTATTTTTATTCAGAGAATTCTAATTAGTATAAAGGAGGCCTAGCTCAGTGAGCCGAGGAAATGTATTTGTCTTCTCTTTTATGTACTATGCCAAATTGTGACAATTACGCCACAATCATTTGTGTGAGTTGTAAGAATCAGGCGCACCCCTAAAAAGCTGTGCTTCAGTCAGGCTTAAGTGTCTCTGAGATGAGCAGCTTTGTAGTATCTGGTTTGGGTCGTGTGACTCTACACACAGAAAGCAGCCCCAACATACAGAATCTCACTATCTATAACAGATGCTACAAATTTGCACAGGTCCTGTTGTGCAAGAGGATGGAAAGACTAGAGAGTTGAAGTCAATGCTGCTCCCTTTTCACAAGGAAGGAACAGGAGTGAACAATTCCCATCCTGCTCTCCCTGTTTAAAGGCATGCAGTGAGGGGAGAGCTGAGGAGATACAGTCACCGTATGCAGTGTGCACCAGTGAGAGAGATTAACTCTGTTGCAAAGGCAACGTTATCTTTGCTAGTGGCTCTCAGTAGGACTTGCTGGCTTCAGCAGTGCTGTGCTGCCAAACCCCGCTGCTTCTGGTGTATATCTCCAATGACTCATCCTTTTCTAATATCAAATCTAAACATTTCAGCTTGATTTACAACAAAATACTTCTTATCCTAGCCCCAAGGGATGTGGTAAAAATTGTACATCATTTCATAATTTTCCCTCTTACAGCCACTTTTCTTCTTATCATGGCTTGCATAAACACCCTCCCCTCCCCTTCTCTTTCTTAGACTAAACAAATTTGATGGTTTCAGTCTCTCCTCATGGGTCAGGGCTGTGATTTTTTAAAACCACCTCATTCCTGCTGCGCTATTCTGGGTTCTCTGCAACTGAGGAGTGCTGCCCACAGCCAAATGCAGTGCTGCAGCTGAGGCCTCTGGGATGCCATGCAGAGCCAGGGTATCAACTTCTTGTGTTTTACATTCCTCACTGCTGGTAATACACTGCAGGATGGCATTTGCCTTTTTTTTGCAGCAGCATTACGTGGTTGACTCGCATGTAGTGAATGGTCCACATTAACCCTTAGTTCCATCTACAGAACAGTTCCCTAGTCAGCTATTTTCCTTTGTGATTACATTCACCTGATCTTTTATAAGCGTAATACTTACGGTTATCTCAATTCAGTCTTTACTGATCTAGGAGATTTTTTTCCTCTGATGTATTAAGATAATTTTTTAATTGTAAACATTCTCCACAGTGTTTGCAACCCCTCTATTTTGGTGTTTTCCACAAATTCTATAGGTACTATTATTTCATGAGCCAAGTTGCTTATGGAAATGTTGATTAATATTAGGAACCCAGCACCACTGGAACATCCTCTGGTTTGACAGCGTGCAATGAGAGCTGCTCCTTCAGCTCAGTGTGCAGTCACCTGTTAGTAATTCTTTCCAGAGCCATGACTACCACCCTTCACCTGAGCAACTATCACAAGTGAATAACACTTTAGCAGTGTTGTGACTATCACTTTAGCAGTGATGTGAAATGCACCTTTCCTTGTCAGTCTTGGTTGTATTGTATTTCCTGTGGCTGGGAACAACAGAGTATCTTAGAGGCACATTGCTTTCAAGCCATGGGTTAGGTGTCATTGACCCGAGCTAGATTTTCTTTAAAAAAACATGTTTTCCTGGCACTCGCTTATCTCCAGATAGCCGTGATATTTGGTTTGCTTTCTTGTTCGTATTGTCTATGTCAAGCTAATTCCTACCAAAAGAAGGAGTTACTATGAAATTTGTCAGTGGACTGGTATTTATGAGAGCATCCACGGGGGCATTCACCTCTACCCCATCCCATCTCTCCAAAGTTGTTTTGTTACTCTTGTGTCTAGTATCAGTCAAGAGCTACAGTTACTTGCATGCTTATATAACGGATAGTTTTGAATTCGTATGTTTATATGTTGCATACGTTGGAGGATGGAAAGGAATCATACAGTGTAGCTTTTCTCCCTCAGTGGCAGATGGGAGACACAATTTCCTTCCTGTTTTCAAGTAACTAGAATTATCCAGAAGCTTCTTAGCATGGAGCGGGAGACCGCAGAGACTTCCTGAGCCTCAGGGATTCAGACCTCAGTAGGTCTGTTTTTCTCAAGTGAAGGCTGTATGGCAAAGAGGATTACTTATGTTGTTTCATGTATATGGATGAATGTGGCATGGCTGTGTACATATGTAATTCCCTGAGAATGTAACCATTTCAACAACATATTCTGGAAAGACTCCTCATATTCAGTACAGAAGCTGTGGTTAAAAGCAAAGAGAAAGGCAAAGACTGTATCCCAGAATAGAAAATAGCATACACATTTTCTATACATATAGATGAAATGATTCCATAATTCACTTATGATACCATATTAAACACCAGTCAGAAGTACATGAATATTAAAGTACTTTCTACCCTAATCTGACTCTGATATTATAAATATTTTATTCATTTTCTTATCTTCTGTTCCAGATTCCAATAACTGTGAAAAGGAACATTTTGAAATGGATATGAAAAGCAATCGGAATGTCAGGTAACAGAGTCTTTTTTTTATACAAAAGCACTGGCCATGAAATTTTATGCATGTATTTAGAAAATTTGTCATACTTAATGATAATGGAGAACTTAAAAAGAATGCAAGTTTCCTTATAAATAATTATTCTGAAAGTTGTAAAGTATTCTCTTAAACTTGAAAACAACAATTTAAAAGAAGTGGTGAGTTCATGTGTTCCTGTTATTCTGTGTAATTTTCCAGAATGAATAGATATTTGCAAACTTATCTCACTTGAACAATTAGAAACTGTTTAGCCCCAATTAAACCTAAAAAATATAATGGGAACAGGATTAACATTATCTCAACAATTTTATAAAATTTTGTTTTCAGCTACTGCTGTGATAATATTTTAAAGTTGATGATGTGCTGTGTTCCTGCTTGAAGCCAGCCACACTGAAAAGTATCAAACATGACTTAAATTGGAATAATTAAAACAAAAATATATGGAGCAGAGCAAAGTTTTAGCGCAGAAGTTAGTAATGCATTTACACATATCATTAATTCAAAGTGATTGCATTCACATTTCTTAAAGAATCAGCATGCGAAAAAAAGTCCAGATTTTCAGCGTTTAGCCAGCAAAGTCACAGTTAAAAAGGAAAAGGAGCACAAACAATAGTGCATGAAAAATGTTGAAACTGAGTAGGGAGGAGAATTTTGTAGAATATGACTGAATTTAACCATGTGTCATTTTGATTGTAGAGCTGGCCCTAAGGAGCAGAAGATCCCCTATGTGCGACTGGAGCGTCTGAAAATATGTACCTCAGAAGAGGGGGAGCTCCCGGTGTTTAAGCTCCAGCCACAGGACAACGAGCAGGAGGGTAATTTCCTTCTGATAATTGAATGTGGGACCCAGTCTTCAAGTATGTCTATAAAGGTGAGTGGAATTTCCTTGAGGTTTTACCTGCTTTCTCCCCTTTCTCCCACTGGCTTGTACCCACAGTTTCTGAAAGTTATTGTACACTAAACAAGCCTGTTGATTCATTTCACCCTCGGACACTTCTGTGATGGGTTGAAGTAATAGAGAATGCAGCTTTTAGTTTGCTGTGTAGCTCCCTGATACTTCCATTTCTGAGAAGTCTGTCTCTGGGGTTGGATAGCTGTAGTGTTTCTGTATTCTAGCAAACAACCTGGCTCGTCTGCCTTGTTACAAATATAGGATAAATAGCTTAAAACTGACCCAAATGCATATTTGAGTGATAGGAACTGATTCCAGAAATCACAGTGTAATAGATTTTTAAAAGCTTTGTATTCTATTGCTTCATTGGAGTCTTGAATGTGAACTTCTTTCCACAGAAGAAAATGGGAATTTCTGGTGGGAACAAAAAACTATACTCTTTTTTTTTTTGAGCTGTTTACTGTAAAGTTTGCAAATAAGATTGTAAAGTATCCTGTTTCTATCAACTGTGATATGAAATCTGTACAGCTCTCTCACAGTGCTATTACATTGTGGTATGTGGAGGAAATGACTTGACCAAGGTGACCTGGCCAGCCAGTGGCAGATGTCGAGCTGAGTGTGGGCCTGCTGAACCCCAGTGCCCTCTCCAGTAGAGTTCACTGCAGAGAAACCGTTTTGTCTGCAGATAACCACTGCTGTTACATGCTTATATATGAAAATGATGATTGTGTGATCCCAGATTTTTCTTCCTTCAAGATAAATAATGATAGTCCACCTGAAGGACTGAAATCCAAAGAGGAGAACTCAGAGGACAGAAGATTTCTCATATCCCAGGCTGCAGGACAGACACAATCTCCTCCTGTAGATACTCCGTCTGTTGATCAGAAGCTCAGCAATGGCATCTCCATCATGAAAAAATCTCCAGTTACTCAGGAAGCCAATCCAATCGAAAATGAGGATTTCTGCGCTGTGTGTCTTAATGGAGGAGAACTGTTGTGCTGTGATCACTGCCCCAAGGTCTTCCATCTTTCCTGCCATGTTCCAGCCCTGCTCAGCTTTCCAGTGTGAGTATGTATGACATTTCGCTAATGTGCTCAGTTTCTGCTCACTGCCTAGGGGCAGAATATATCCTCGGGGATGTATGTGTCAACCTTACACAAGGGCAAGGACTGCATCTCTCACTTGCCTTTTTTGTTACTTTTCTTGCAAAGGGAAGAATTGTCTTACACACTAGGAACAAGATGAATTACTAACAAGAACTGTTCCCAGCCATGTATGCCCTGTCTGCAGTTAGCTGGCCAGCACAACAAAGGAAATGGCAGACCTGAGCTTTAAAAAACATTCTTATGACTTACTGGAGAAAAATAAAATTCTAACTCTCATGTAACATCTGTGGTGTAGATGTCAGCTCTTCTCTGCAAGAAAAGTGACTAGCACAAGGAAAGGGCGATCAGTGAGTTCCTATTCAGTTTTCTAGCCAGTTTTATGGGAAATTTAGGATTATTGGGGCTTTTGTGGAAATGTTTAGGACATTGGTTTCCCTAAGACATACATTGCCTAGCAACTTGTCACAGATGAATTGTATGTGACAAAGAGCCAGAATTAGGTACACGTCCACATACCAAACTTTAAAAGTGAGGCTGAATAATGTGCATTACTGGTGGTGTATAATTCTGAATTCTGTTACAAATCATTACCAGGTGGGACCACAGGCTACTTCATTTGTGCCAAGCCCAAATAACTGTCTCAGCTGAGAAAAATGTGTTGTGAGATATTTGGTTGGAGATTCTGGTCTGTTCTTTCTGTTCAAAAAGCAGGAATTTCCATTTCTTGGCTTTTCACTCTTTTCTCTAATAGCTAAGTCATTATTAAACCTCTAGTTTCAAGACAATGTGAAAACCAAGTTTTCCTTTTAAAATAAACTTCCTAGGCAAAGTTAAATTCTAATGAAGTAAATTAATTCCCTTAATTAAGTTCTGTATTCATAGTTCTTTGATATACCTTCATCTATAGTTATTCAGGCCCTGATGTTGCAGAAGTTGCATCACTGCCTTCATGAAATTCTTCAAGAGGTTTCTGAAAATGGATCTACTGGGAAGGACGCTTATGCCCATGCAGAATTATGTCTATTTGGTTTGGGAACCTGTGTGCTAGCACACATTATGACCTTTTCTGATAATGTTGATTTCTTAGATAAATATGTCAATTCTCAAAAAGATCTGGTTTTGTCTTATGACCCAACTGTTGGCTATTTTTCCTTTTTTTTTTTTTTTTTTAAAAAAAAACCCAGCTCTTGAAACAATGCAGCTGCACACACTGCTGGTACACCATTTCAAACACTTACTGTTTCGTCTCTTTCTCTGTGACAGAAAAAGTGCAAGGAGTAGAATCTGAAATTATTACACTTCTAATTAGATTCAAATCTCTTGAAGAACATCTAGTACAATGGGCTTCAGATTGCCTGATATTGTAATACTAGATAAGGATGATACTTGTTTCCAAATACAGTGAATCCTGAGGTTTGTTATTTGACAAGGTTGCTGACAAAATTTGGTATAAGTTTTTGGTTTCTTGTTTTGCAGGGGAGAATGGGTGTGCACGCTTTGCCGTAATCCATTGAAGCCGGAGGTAGAATATGACTGTGAAAACACACGCTACAGCCACAGCTATAATGCACAATATGGCCTTGATGACTATGACCAGAAGGTGGGAATAACTATATATTGTACTATTTAGAAAAGGACATATGATCTCAGCATGAGGCTTTGCCTCTTCATTGGAAAGATGACTGTTTTGACTTGGTTGCTACTCAAATGTTTCAGAGACTAGTAAATACAACAAAAGCATTGTTAGTATTCAGTTATATCATTCCCTTCTACCTAGACATTGCTGTTCAATTTTAAAATTGAAAGATGAAACAGGCAGACCTGGAATTCCTTTCTCCTTTGAAGAGGGAATTCACACTCAGCAGCAGAGCAAGCTTCCCTGAGTCAACTTTGCCTGGCTTTCTGCCACTGAATCTTTTTCCCTTAAGACTTGGCACCTTCTCAGACATCTAGGCCAGTTGCAATGACATTTTTGTGATGTAGACACTTTTTGACTTTCAGTTGGATTGAAATCATCATACGGTCTTCATATGTACCGTTAATCCCCTTGAAGATGACATTTAGGCACTGTTAACTCAGCCTAGATGAAACCTTATCTCTTTACATCCCCATTACCAGTTTCCTCTACCAAATCTCCCATGAAAAAATGCCTTTTCTTAAAGTCCACTTGGTACTCAGAAGCCACAAGTTCCAAAATGGATTTCCTGTGTATATTGGTGACAGCTGGACAGGGAGGCTAAGTCCACACAGCTGAGTACAGATGCTGAGCTGGCCCTGCACAAATGAAGCCTAGAATAAGGCACTGATCTAGTCTGGGCACCATACATAAAGACAACAGCAACGGTTCTTAGAGCACTGGGGCCCCTTGGCAAGGCCTGTGAGCATAGCCACAGCACTGCTTAAATTCATCCATGCTGTTTCCAGACCTGAGCTACTCTGTCCATAAAGAGCTGGACATAACTTCTTGACATTGATGTGATCCCTGTTTCTATTGGATTGGGTACAACTGGCCAGAAATAGCTGGGATCTGGGTCTTGATTAGTGAGGTTCTATTTAGAAAATGGAGTTGATGAGAAATGCCATTGCTTGTGAGCAAACATGGCTTATAATGTTTTTGCAGTGCATTTTTTTTTCATCAGTGAAAAAATGAAGACTAGTATAAGTATTTTACAAGTTAATGATGATTAAACAGAACTGCTTTCGTACAGTACTACCAACTACATAACTTACATCCATTTGTATGAAAGGATATGAACAGTGTGAAACATTTTCCATTTAACTGTTTCCACACTGTTGCTTTTGTTCTTTTAGTCAAGAGCCAAGGAATAGATCTGGAGTGTGGAAAGGAAATAGTGATAGCGATGAATTCCCAAGAGTTTCCAGGAAAGATACATGCATACAAAAATTTTTACATAATGTTTCTTTTCTTGCATTTCTTGAGTGTCCTCACTTTCAGAACTATAAAAATGCTATGAGGCAAAACGTCCCCCAGGTTAGAATGAAGTGTGCCATTTTGCTTCAGAAATGCACAGGCTACATGAAAACTCCACTTGTTGTTAGTAAGATTGATTAACTAAGGGCAAGAATGAAACTCACTTGTTTTGAATTAAAATGTATTTCAAATTTGGCTTCTACAGAAGTGTGAAAAGCTGGTGCTTTCCCTGTTCTGCAGTAGTATGAGCCTCCCATTCCATGAACCCGTCAGCCCCCTGGTAAGTATTGCACACGCATGGGTCAGAGTGAATCCAAAGAATAGTCTGGCACATCTCGCGAGTTTCTTCTGTCTTCTTGAAAGATATTCATTAGCTTTTTTTCTGAATAGTATTGCTTCCTAGGGAAGGGTAGGTGTTTCCCTCTTGCAGATGCTTTGAAGGTGCCAGGTCAGAGGCAGGTAAATCACAGAATCATAGAATAGTTTGGATTGGAAGGGACCTCTAAAGGTCATCTAGTCCAACCCC